CCTCCCCCTCCTCCTCCTCCACCACCACTTTTACCACCACCGCCACCTCCACCTCCACCTCCACCTCCACCTCCTTGACCCCTATTTTTCCCAGCAGTTTCAATATTTACCATGACTTCACTCACAGAAGTTGTACTGTTCCTTGCATTGGCATCTGGAACAAGAATTGGTAATGCTTGCGACATCTGACTTATGGAGCTACTGCCATTAAGTTCAGCAACTCCATACCTGATTGGCTTATGATCCACAATTTTCCCTTCAGCAAAATATGAGCTTAGCACCGTTGCAAGTAGTAATAAAAGTAGCGTCCAAAAACCCATATTCTTCAATGGCTTACTTGAGATTGCATGTAGAGACATTTATATCCAGCCCTTATTTATACTATTCTAATGCCTGCGCTTCTGTGCATAACTTCTAAAAAGCTTAACAAAACAGACAAAGTCCCCACATGACAACAGACAGTAAACTAAGTTCTTCCAAAGGCTGTAAGCAAAAGGAATGTAAAGAGTACTGGGGACTGTAGTAAACTATACTCAACTTCCTGCTGATTAAATTTTGTCCCCACTCACGTTCTCATAGCTTTGTCTAACTCATACTCAATTATACTTTTATCTTTTATTCGTCGTTCTTCACTTGATGAAGATATAGAAAAGATTATCTTTTCCCAGCCAAACTCCTTAAATTAAACGGTTTTCTTTTTGCATGTTCATTACAATAATCTTAATCACGTGGGTTCAATTACATAAAGTTACAAAGGCGGCGCAACTTTTCCAGCGTAATTAAGCATAATGCAAGGCATGCATTATATTGCTCTTTGTCATCGATGTTGTCGCTATTGAGAGTGGATAATTCCATTTCTCATACTTTTGCGGGATATATACATAGCACACAAGATCTCTAGTCTTGGCTTATTAGTTGTTTCTTGGACATTTTAGTGTCCGATCATTTCAGTACTATAGCCATCTCATGAACATTTCAATTAGGGCACGTTAGATTATCCCACATTGGATTGAAAGATTAAGCCGTGATCCATTATATGATCTTGGACCATTCTTATTTCATGAACTCACTTTTTGGGGTTAATTTAGGCTTAAGGTCTATTAATTTCTTAACACATATCGTCACTCAAACCGAGTCTATTATCAGAGGTGGACCCATGACTTAGACAATGGCAGGGGCTCCACTATTGAATAAAAATTCGAGCAAATGCGGAAGTAGAAATCGAACACAAACAGGGCAAGTTGTGCCCCCTCCCCCAAAATCGACCAGTGCAGCTACCTAAACTTTGCGTCTTAGGGCGTGCCGATCAAATATATACCTGCTATTAAAGATATATATACATGTATACATACATTTTTTTTCGAAACTACTGGGCCGGTAGGTTCGCCTTTGTCTATTACAGATCATATCTTTCTTACTTTACATACGACTAATTAATCTTAACGATAGACATTCAATGATTTTTTGGTTCAATCTCAAGATCGAGAAGAATAAAATTCCAAGAAAACATTGAAGATAAAACAGTAGGTCGATAGAAATGAATGTTCATGTGATGTGGCCCGGGATGTGGAAGTTTGCCTTTAACTTTACTTCAGGGATAGGACAAGTAGGGGGGATATAATGTAGAATCCCAGAAGTGTAAAGCACGTGATACAAAGTGGTGAATGTGCAGGTCACTTAAGCTTATGGTGATATAATTGGAGGGAGGTGGTGCTGTATGTTCACTACTCATGCTGTGGATTTTGGGTTGTTTCTTTAATGAAGTGCTCTCCAGATAAGTTCCATATCGCAACCAATAGTTTTTACATGTTTTTTTTTTTTTTGTACTAATTTATCCATTATATTAGACACAGTTGGTATGATATTATGATGATTTCCCTTTTCTTCAAGGAATTGCTTCATATATATATATTTGGTATGTAAAGGGCGCAGCAACTTCACCTTACTCATGACCCATTACGGAAAATGCGTTTAGTATTGTCTAGCACTCTAGCTTGGCCCTTCCACTCGAAGTTTTCCTTGTGAGTGAAACTCTATTCATTTGTATTGTACCTGCAACTGGAATATTCATTGAGTTTAGCTTTTATAGTAAAACAAAATTATATTATCAGGTTATTTATATTTATAATATAACATAAAAAACATACACTATCTGGTCATTTATAATATAACATTAAATAGCTCCCCATAATTAATAATTGGAACTAGTTACAACTATAGGAGATAACTTTTTTACACAGCTTAAATCCATTTTTATCAGTAAAATGAAATAGAGTTTAAGCTTTATGCATTGACAGTGTAAATAATATTTACACAAATAGGTTACTCTATTTAATAGGCGTTTATTAATAACCTACAATATATATGGTAAGTAAACTGGTAAAACAAGTTAAATTATAACTGTGTTTTAAAAGGCGTGGGTGTAAGACGAGGCGCTTTACATATGCCTCAGCGGGGCGTAAGAACCGAGGCGTGGGACGTAAGCCCCATAGGTATTTAGTTTTTAATATTTTATAAAATAATATAATGACAGTAAATATTTATAAACAGGTAAAATTGCATAAATATTGAAGAAAACTATATATATGTGTGCTTCATCCCCACAAAAAACTAATCAAAACAATCTATTATACGTTACTTACAAGCACAAGTAATTTGAGTCAAAGAATAAAGTTTTCTATATGGAGGAACAAAAAAAATGATTAACCTGCAATTTGAACTTTGAATTTGCTGCTATGAAGAAGAATGTAGTTCTCTTTGTATTTGTAAAAAAAAAATGAAATATTCGTTGCTTTTAGGAGATATTAGCAGACTAGCGGACAAGAAAAAAATTTGAGAAAATCATGAATTAGGGCTTAAATCAATAAAAAGGTCTTTACTTTTAAATTTAATACTTTTGAGTTCCTTTTTAAACCTTTTGAGTAATTACTAAACTGACTTTTGAGAATTTGAGTATTATATGAATGACTAATTCAACATTTTGTTTTAATTTGAAAAAATCTCTAGGACTTACTCCTTACTAAAAAAACGCGGCCCGAATGCTCGGGCGTACGCCCCAAATTGCGGGGCGTACGCCTCTTGAGACTTTCGCCCCACACCATCGCCCCGGGGCGTTTTTGGTATGCCTCGTCCCGGGACTCGCCCCAGAAACGCCTTTTAAAACAGAGATTATAAGGATAATAAATCCAATGAAATAACATGTCTTTCCGGCCCTTAACTGCAGACCTTTTTTGAAAACTCCTCCTATATCTTTTTGGTGTAGGAAGACAGAATTTGGAACGGGAAGGACCCGATGAGAAGAACATTGCATGTTGAAGATACAAGATTGGAATCCACCGTTATCAACTTATCACTAAAATATTGTAGGAGTTTTTACCTGTGTTATCAATTTGTTCGGTCGGTCATATTAAAAAACCAATTGGTCCGTAATTTTATTTTTTTAATAAAACCGATCGAAATATAATCGGTCGATAATTTTCGCGTGAAAATGCAATTAAAGAGTATAAATAAAATAAAAAAAAGTCTTAAATCAAAATGCACCAATAGTCTAGTGGTTGAATAGTGCCATGCCACATTACAAACTCCGGTTCAATTTTCAGATGGTGCATTTTATAATTACATAATAAAAAATACCGACCGACTTCGGCCGGTTTTTTCGGCAGATTCTTTTTTGTCGTTTGTGGAATTTAATTGACCAACCGAAATTGGTCGGAAAATACCTACCGAAATCGGTCGGTTGGCTCTACCGACTACACGATTATCGACCGCCACGAATCGGCCGATTTTCGATCAATTTTTACCACTTACTGACCAACATCGGTCGGTTTTGGCAATCGATTTTTCTCTTTTTTTTAGAAGTGTGTGGTCTTAAACATAATATTTATGGCCATATGACTTTTATTTTGAAATTTGTGATTTTAAACATGACATAATATTTTTATGGCTATAAGAATTAAAACTTGTGGTCTTAAAAAAGATATAATATTTGTATGATTATAAAATAAATATTATACTAATGGAGTAAAGGTAAAGTAATTTTTTTAAAATCAAATGTTCTCAAATATCGATAGAGTTCTTTTTTTTTTTTGTTGAATAGACTAAAGAAAAATAAAGTCACATAAACAAGAACGGAAGGAGGGAGTATAAGGCCTTATTTATTTTTTTTTAAGATTAAGATGTCTGAATCTGAATACACGCCTGAATATCAAGATGTGTATTAAGATTAAGACATTTGAGTTTGAATACACATTTGAATGTTAAGATGTGTATTAAGATCTAAATACTAAATGATTAAGACTGTTTGATTTTTAACATCTGAATGTATAAATTTTACGTTTATTTAAAAATTAATAAACATAAATTCAAATAAAATACTAATTAATCTAATATTCAATCACTAAAATATATAGCTTTTTAAAATATGATAGTTGTTGGTGGTAATGGCTAATGGTAGTGCTTGTGAATGCCGACTAAAAGCGGTGGTTGGTGGTAGATTTGGTTGATGGTGGTAGTTTAGGGTAGTAGCTAGTTGTGATTGGTAGTGGTAACTATTATGATTGAGGATGGTGGTGGTGGGTGGTGATAGTTAATAATGGCAGGTGTTGGTGGTGATGGTAGTTGTGATTAAGGAAGATAGTGGTAGGTGGTAGTAGTTTATAATGATGGGCAGTGCCAGTTATGGTTGTTGATGGTGATGGAGTGGTTAGTTATGGTAGTTAAGGTGAATGAGTGTTGGTTGTCGTTGAGAATGATGGTGGTGGGAGTGATGGGGATGGAGGGTGGTGGTAATCGACAATGGTGGCGGCTATGATTGAGGATGATGGTGGTGGTGGTTGAGTATGGTGGTGATGGGTGGCATGGTGGTAGTTGATAATGGTAGGTGGTGGCGGCAGTTAATAATAAATATGGATGATAGCAAATTAAGTATCTGTTATAGATCTTAATGATACAGGCCTATTCAGACTCATTAAGTGGTTATGAAGTAAAAAAAAATAAACACACTTAACAATTAAGATCTGCATAATTAAAATTCAGACTTTAAAAATAAACGCACTTAATGTCTGAGATCTGAATGATTAAGATTCAGACTTTCATTAAGTGCAAACAAATGAGGCCTAAATCTCTATCAATAGCAAATATGAAATAGGCCACTTAAACTTTACATAACTGTCATAATTTGAAAGAAATATAATAAATTCTTAGCATGAAACCCAATATTACAGTTGTGGCAGGAAAATATTTATATTTGTAGCACAC